TTCACCAATACTAAATATGATCCAATTCAATTCAGCACATATTTAGTTTGTATTTCATACATTCAAATCTTATCAGCCAATAAATGCAGCACTGTCTTCTGCTTAACAAAGGACGTTGAAAATAAAGCCCTCATCATATTTAACAGATATTAAATATTTTCAAAGAACAACAACTGCCTGTTTATGGATTGACTGTCATAATCAGCATTACCCTTAGTTTTTATGATAAGCTGATATATTTCCCATTCTTAAGTTTCACAATTTTTAAGTTATTAATAATGTGAGAGAATTGTATTCCCTTATGATTGTGGATAAAGTGATCTCCAAAAATTGTTTCTTAACCTTTTGGAAACTTTCATCATGTAACACAGGCTTGATTTCAGCTTTCACAGTTTCCTTTCACTCGTCTATGACTGAAGAAATTACAGCTCACAGAACTCCCAGATTTGAACAGTAGTGGATCAGAAACTGATGCATTCCCCTGGAGAACTTGGACCTGCACAATTTTTCTGAGTTTCACACCATAACATACAGAAAATAGTGAGGGCTTAGCATTACACTTTTCTGTGAGGTGCCTTTTATTTCACTTTTGCCAGTGATACTGAGTTTATTTTGGCCCATGAACATCTCAGCCAACAATCACCTCATTCTATTCATGTCAATTATAAAAACAATAAGAAAATTAATAATACCATTGTTTATTGAGTTCTTATGTCACACTCACTTTGCCTGGATGAATCTCATTTAATCATCACAACTAAATTATGAAGTAGATACTGTTTTAATTCCATATTACATACAAAGCAATGGAGGTAGACAGATGTTATTTGTTCAAAAGTCACTCAAGTTATGTGCATGAACCATGTTTCAAACTCAGGCAGCCTAGATTCCAGACCCTGAACTCTTAAACCACTGTGATATCCATCATTTAGCACATGGCATTGTAACATTCAGCCTGCATGGCTGGAATTCCCATTAGACTGGGAGCTCTCCCTATTCAAAGAATGCAGTTGACATATTCCTCAGTCCACTCAGATTCCAGCAGCAAAGTCTTTATTTAAAAAGAAGTTGCAGCAAATAGTACATATTTATATTAATACACTTCAAGCATGCAAAACAAGTAACTTAGAGAAAAACTTTTCTCTTCTTCCCTTTATACAGTATTTAGAGCAGACCTTTCATCACAGATTCCATCTTTATCCAATATTTCAGTGAACTAGAACATCTGAACACCTTTCACATCTAAGTCATGCATTCTGAATCTGCCTCACACAGGTTAAAAATGTGTGATCTAGAGAACCACAAAATTTATCTCTGCACCCCTAAATAGTTTCAGAACCTATCTTGAACTCCTAACTATAAGAGTGTAACGAAAGCTGTGGCCCACCTATTGAATGTGGCCTCTGAAACCAGACTGGCAGGGCTCAATGCTCAGCACTACCTCCTGCTAATTCTGTAGCTTTGCAAATTTACGAAAACCCTCTGTTCCTCATTTTCCTCATCTGTAAAATGGGTCACATGCAATAATAGTATCTAACCTCATGAGGTTGATATACAGAGCAATTACTATATCATCTGCACAGAGTAGGGTCTTGGGAACTTAAGTTTAAAATATTATCAGAGAAATATGAAAATCTGGTTGACTATATATACCAAAACAGTGACGTAGAATAATAGCAGCCCCCCAAAATAGCAATAACTAAAAACAAATTTTCATTCCCAATGATTTTTTTTTTATCCATGCGTATTCAATCTGATGAATTCTGGACATAATTTTTCAAATGGAATTCCCATTCACAATTTTACTGCTCTGTGTAGCCATTTCCCTAAAGCCAAGTCTAGTCTCCTCTCCCTCCTCTCTTTTTTTTCCAAATGGATAGAGGCAAAGGACAAGTACAGAAGTTTCAAGTAGAGATACTAGGACTTGGGAGAGGCTTAATAGGTCCCATTTAAATTTTTAATCTTGCAAAATAAAGACTAAATTAACAAAATTAAATTTTATTATCAATATCAGTTCCATAAATGGTTAGAAGTTCACCTAAATGAAAAAAAAAAAATTCAGAGTGATCAATCTCTGCATAAGGATCCCTGAAGATTATCCATGCCATCTTTGTGATATTGAAAATGACACTATTTTACAAGTCAGTATGCTGCAATGAAAAAAAATCCACAAGATATATATGCTTTCATTTTGCTTCCCACTGTTTCTCTGACCTTTCTCAGTTGGAGTAGTAGCAGGAAACTAAAATAAAAGTACTGTTTTTCTGTGTGAGGCACTTTGTGAATAAACAATCGTGAAATCAGAACAGTTGTAAGACTTCTCTGCCAGTTGCTTCTCCTAAACAGAGAATTACTATTAGAGGAAAGAGCCTGCGGCAATAAACATCAGGGGCTAGCGTTTCTTTCTCTTCTGAAACCAATCAGGCTGATCCAAGTCCAGAAATGCCTTTGAAGTTATGGAGACCTTCATGTGCTGATCAATCCTTGAGAGGTAAAGAGCAAGAAAAACTGGTTCTAGATCTTTAATACATTCTGCCAGGGAATGCATTCAACTCAGTGAGGTACAAAAAGGTTTCCTCTATTACAAATTGAGTGATTTTGTACTTGGGCGCCGCTTGGTTCAGTTAACTTAGAGGGAGCTATTGATTCCAGACGTGATTATTTGTATGTCAGTGCATATCTCTATTAAGTCAAGCTAAGGCTGGAACAGCAACAACTGTAAATTCATATTTTTTCTTGGTCCTAAGGCATAGGTTGAGATTTGGGTCAATTTAAGTGGAAAACAGCATGTGAGTCTCTTAATAAGGATGATCACTATTTATTATTGATATAATCACTATTCTATAGCATGGTGTTAATATTTCTAAGATATCAAAACCTAAGAATTAAGTTAATTTATCAGGAGTTAAGAATGCAAATGATTGTAAAATTGATAGTTCAGTCCAAACCCATCATTTATGGGTGAGAGAGCTTAGCACCGGGTAATGCAAAAAATGTATCCTCAAGTCTGGCTATTTAGCACCAGAATAAAATTTGGCATCAAGACTCCTGACCCTGTTCAGGGTGCTATTCTCCAAACATTCTCAAATATCTCTCTGTCAAACCTTTTCTCTTTATCTTAAGTGGCTAAGCTTTTCACTTTCAAATTGTAAAGATGCAGAAAATATAGTTTAAAACCAGCAACATAAATACACTTTACATCTCATTTTGTTTTAAGAGACTACTAAAAATACAGACATTTTATAAAGTAGACTTCTTTATTATTTTGGCCACAGAAAAATATTCAATACAATAGAATTATACAGCTTGTAGACATAATTTATTATAATAGCATAAAAACCAAAATCCCTGTAAAAGTATAGATAGGGTACCAGCTTCAGTTGATTGTCACATAGAAAGAAGAGGTAAAAATTTCAACTCTATAGTTAATCAGTAAGATAAAGAGAAATGAACATAAATACCAGAGTACAACAGTTTCAAAATTATTATGGCACATAATGACCTCAAAAAATACATCAATCTGTTTGAAATACTATCTAATCTATGTTAATGCATGGTCACTTGTATAATCCAGATTGAAAAAAAGTGGGGAAGAAACACATGTAATTTATTGGCATATTTAAAAGTTAGAACACAAATATTTCCCCAGTCTCATCTATAAGAGCATCCGTGATTCACATTCTCTGTCACTGAGTAGAAAAATCTTAAGGAATATAGTAGGACTTTCCAACTGTTTTCAAACTGATTTCACAGGAACCTACTCTCATTATTTTCAAACATCAGTACTATCTTAATTTAAATGGTTCAACTGCATTAAATATTATATGTAATTGGAGAGCCTTTGCAGTAGTCATTCTATCTTCAGAACTGCCTCTTTTGTGAATAATAATCTTTAATATGATCATGACACATAGGAAATGGCTTAAGACGGTTTACTCTACCTCTTTACATTCTAGGTAACAAACCAAAGTGCAAATGTCAATCGTTAAGTTTTACCTTCTCCCATTGATACATACAGGCACACACACAAATGCATACATATACACTCACGCCCATACACAAATCAGACTTTATACAGTATCTTCAATTGAGTAAGTAACTATAATGTAAAGAGTTACTTCCCACATGCAATTCACCTTTAATAAAATCTTAAAAGCCCTCCTCTGCATACCTAAATGCATAGGACCACAAATGTAAAAGGCCAATTTCCTATTAAATAGTGGCCGTACATTTCTATAACACTTAACAGGGTTTACCCTAAATTCAATCAGAAATTGTATCAAATGTCTGTGAGATATATCATGATCTTCTGCTTTTACACCATAATAAACTCTGTTTCAACAAGTATCCGATTGATCTCATATGTCCATTAGTTTCTGATTTTCCCTGATTGGCAGTAGTATTTCTTCTTAGCCTTGTGAAATAGTATGGAACAATCTAATTTTCTCAGAATTCAGTCCTGAGGTATACGTTTCCATTTTCTTTGTTGATCTAGCACAGGCTCAGGTGATTTCTACACAATGCATCCAATTAATTCAAGCAAGGCAAATGAAATCACATCTATAATAATTTCCATCTTATTAACTATAAACAGTAAGTAAGAGGATATGTTTCTCCACTCTTTGCTTGAGTCCTTTCAAGTGCAAACCAAAGGAAAAGGATTTTCTGTTCTTTTCATACTCTTGAATGTGATGATATTTGATTCAGTTTCTCCACTGTAATTGACAAGACTGTAAAACCTCTCTCACATCCCTTCTTTATTCTATACTGAGAGTTTAATTTTCTTTTTCAACTGTTTGCAAATTATAGTTTGATTCCTTTTTTGCCGAGAATTTATTTTAAAGCCATTTTGTTTTCTTCCAAATCAGAGCTTCATTTTACTCAGCTAGTGGTCCTGCCCCTTGGGAATCGATTTCTTTTTACACAGGACTAATCCAGGTTTATTAGGATCCAACACCTTTAGTTGGAACATTCCATGGATTTCACTTACGAGCACATACATTCATTTTACACGATTCCTCAATGTGGCCAGGGGGTTTCGTGGTCTGCACTGTATCCACCTATAAAAAATACAAAAATATATGTCTGCTTTACAGGGATGTGAGTAGGGTTTTGCTAGCCTAGATCCAAAACTTGGATGCATATTTTGGCTGATAGTATTCTTTCCTTCTTTAAGATGTATTTGCAGTGGCCATAACCTCTTTTAGAAGTCATAGAGACATAACAGTTCTAGCTACAATTAACAACCCTAGGGCATCTAGATCGATGCTGTTGGCTAATTTCTTGGATTCTGTCTTTGACAAGAGATATTTGCATGGTAAAAGAAACATTGAATTATTGTTTTCCAGGCTATGAGTATTTAAAGGAGAGGGGCTGTCAGGGAAGGAGGTGTTGTTGGCTTTATTTATATTATAAATACAAATAAGAATGAAATGGTAATTTTGTTATCAGTTCTTTTACAATTTACTGTCCCTAAAATCTCTGGGAGGTGAGCTTGATCTGAATGTTCACACCCATCAAAGTAGCTCTCTAGTCTCTAAACGCAATCATGGAAATCTGAGCATTTTACACATCATCAGTAAATGGTTCACTGATTTATGGTCAAGGATGAATTATTAAAACTATTCCCTTCAAAAATCTGACCATAAAAAGGCATTGTTTTTTACAAATGAAAGTAATGATAATACTCCTTTAAAATGTTTTGGTGCCAATTTGAGTTTTAAATAGTACTGAATACTTATTGCTTTGAATTTGAGCCTGACCAATAGTCTGATTTCTGCTCTCTGACAAAAAATGCACAGAATATTGTTTCTAGTTTAATGATGCAATTGATGTCAGTAAAAGCTTTAGTGAGTTTGAACACTGTCAAAAAGGATAATAAATCACTTCCATAAAATAAAAATGCTACAGTTCGCTACCAAAAGAATTAGAATGTTTTAAGAATCAAAAAAAAAATTAGTACTGCACCTAATTTCCAATGTCACAATGCATCAGCACATAAGAATCAAGGTTAGAAAAGAAGTAAATGAATTCTTTCACTGAATAATCAAGTAATTCACATTTGAAAGTAAATGGAACAAAAAAGTAACGGCTAATTTAAAAATTGCTTATATTCAAGAGCATAAGGTGCTTAAAAAATTGTTCTGACTACAGATTATCCATATTAGCTGTATAAATTTAAGCAGCTTTAAAATGCCTTAATTTATTAAGTTAAATTTTATCTTTTCTTAGAAATAAAAAGAGTATATTTTCTTTCTCTAGCAAGTTTTAAAACATAACAAAATTTAAGATATTCTGGCCAATAACACACAGAAGACAAGTTTACCATGGAATCTGTGCTAAGTGAGTTTTCATGATTTAAATTGTAAGTTTAAGATGAACGTGTGCTAAGTTGCTTCAGTCCTGTCCAACTCTTTGCAACCCTGTGGACTGTAACTCACCAGGCTTCTCTGTCCATGGGATTTTCCAGGCAAGAATACTGGAGTGGGTTGCCATTTCCTTCTCCAGAGGATCTTCCCCACCCAGGGATTGAACCTGCATCACTTATGTTTCCTACATTGGCAGGCAGGTTCTTTACCACTAGTGCTATCTGGGAAGCCCTAAGATGAACATAGATTATATAATCAGAACACAAACCATACACTACACTTGTCATTTAAAAACTGCTTTATACAAAAATAAAAACTATATATTTAAAAGTTTCAGATACTGTTTTTTATTTCCAAACCAATGAGAATGATATAGCCATAATACACAACTAGACTACATTAGATCATCCTGTTAGGTACTACCTATCATGGTCGTGCTAAATTGCTCAGTCACGTCTGACTCTTTGCGATCCTATGGACTGTAGCCCACCAGGCTCCTCTGTCTATGGGATTCTTCAGGCAAGAATCCTGGAGAGGGTTGCCACTTCCTCCTCCAGGGGATCTTCCAGACCCAGGAATCAAACCCACATTCTCTGAGACTCCTATATTAGCAGGCAGCTTCTTTACCACTGAGCAACCTGGGAAGTCCATATCTTTGCCTGGAGAATCCCACGGACAGAGGAGCCTGGCGGGCTATAGTCCATGGGGTCACAAAGAGAGGAACCCGACTTAGCGACCGACCAGGAACGCTACACACACACACACACAGTTATCTCTGTGGAGTTATTCACTTAACTGTCTCATCGTGTCAAGGCTACAATGTAGTCTAGGAGAACAAACCTCATTTCCATCGTTTACTACTTCATTCTCAGTGTTGGCACAAGGTTGTCTCTCAATAAAACTGCTCTAATGAATGAATACCTGTTGGAAATAGCTAGCTAAACAAATCACAATACTGGTCACATCATAGTACCACTTTTGTCTAGTTTTAATATTTTGAAATCCTGTTTTTGACTTTCTATTATTTGTCATATGATAGATTATGAAACAGATATTTTCAAGCTGTAGTAAACATTCTTCATTTTATTATCATTTTATTTTACCCACTTTTTCTATTTTTTTCAACTTAGCCTGTCCATTTAAAATTTCATTAATTTTCTCTTTTTAACCTTTTCCATATAACAGTCACTTTTATTTCCTTAAAGGGAATATTCTATTTAAAATGTTCTGCAAGGTTTTCAATAAGCGAATAAGTAAAACAATAAAAACATAGGAAATCAGGGGCATCAAAGTGTTTCACCTTCTATTTTCAAGACTTGACATACTTTTAAAAGCATACCCAAAAACACAGAATGCAGTTACCACATTGCCATGAAACATAATGAAATCCTCTTATTAAAATATTCCTGAGGAATAGAGCTCTCTCATGCCATAAATTAACTATGGAAGGGCAGGTTTCACGTTTGTGGTTTCAAGCTTTGATGCATTGAACAAATGCAGCTATGCACTAATATTCACCTGTCACTAAAGCCAAGAAAGTGGATTCTTTCCTCACCATTAAAGATTCATGTTTAAAAAACAAAAATGCATACCTCAAATCACTTATTGAGCTCACGGAGAACTACTTAGGAATCACCATTCTGCAAACAGTCATTGATGAGGGTCAGGGCAGAAATGGATGTTACCAGGATTGGTTTGTTTTGATTTGAATCAGCTAATTAAAATGGCCCTGGAAGCAATTTTCAGATCACTGCCACTGAAGAGATAGGCTCCAGTAAATCAGACCAAACCAATCTTTCAGTCAGGTCCAATTCTGCTGAAGTTGTATAGACGCAGCTTTTGTCTTCCCCTTCCAGCCATTCTCTTCAATTTTTTTTATCACCCAGGCAACAAGCCACACACACACACACACAAGATGAAACCAAGCCATTCCTGGAGCACGTTTTACCAGGCCATCTCTATATCTCACTCAGTTTTCATTTCCTAATCAAAGAGACTGAAATAAGCTTGGAATTAATTATCAAAAACCATCACTAAATTGTAAAGCAATTTTATCCTCCAATTAAAATAAATAAATTAATTGAAAAAATATCAATAAAAAGTTAAATGATAAAAGCTTTGTTCTACTTTTCCAGATTTCTCTGGCCTTCTCCTTGACTAGTGCTTGGAAAACAAAGCTGAATTATGCAGAGAATAGGAATAAGATTCAGATTTAAGTACAAGAATACAAGGAACACTCATACAAAGGAATAAACACTCTCTTAATAATTCTTAAAAAATTCCAATCATAAACAAGGAAATGTATATATTTTGAAAGGAACATGTATCTATTTTGTACTTATTTTTATTAGGCATGCTTCAAAACTAAGTCACACACCTACGTAATTGGTATAGATTAAGTACAAGTGTCTGTTGAATGTGTTTGCATATAATTGGCAATATGTAAAAGGATCTATGAATATTCATTGTTTTTTCTCTGACTGATGTTAAGATCTAGGTGAAAGTGAAAGGCCTCATATAAAAAGTAGAGTCTATTCCATGACACAGAAAATGCAACTGATGGTAGTTTCTGCAATCTAGGAACAGAAAGTGGATTTTCATATTTTATAGCAAATGCATAATATCAAAGCTAAGTCAAGGGAGAGCCATCATCAAGACTGAAAGTTTATTATTTAAAAAAATAATGGAAAATCATTTGAAATAGAAAGTGGGACAGATGTTAACATGGGATTTGGTGAATGGAAGACTATGAAGATAATTCTGAATGATATGATCATGTTTTACTCCATTTTGACATATAAATGAGGTACCAAAACTCATAAATTATAATTATTAGTTACTATACCATCTGCATAGATGTTTATTACAAGATTGCACTTAATTATTTAACTTTCCCTCACAAAGTCCTTGTGAAGTAGCAATTATAAGTTTGCTCATTTTACATATGAGGGAATTAAAGATCAGAGAGCCTAATCTTCTTATATAAAAATCACATAGATAATGGGAGAATCAGGGCCCCAAACCAAGACTTTGGTTATTAATCAAAGATTGTTTTTCCTCAGATTATGTTTGTAGATAATTGTTTTTTAAATTTGACTTTGAATCTTTTAAAAATATACATCTAAGTTATAACTGAAAATGTCTCTATTTTGTCATTGTTTCAGGAATACACAAAACTATGCAAGCTTTTTATACTATTATAAATGAGTGTGTTACAAAACTCAGTTCTAGAAGCCTGTGTATTTATCAGAGTCAGGATTCTATGATAATTACTTAATTTGTGAATACATAAGAAGCAACTTCAACATATCTGAAGGTTGTCTAAACTGACAAAAAAAAAAAATAGGAAGGAAAGGAATAAATAAGACAAATTCCATCCAATCAAAGAAAGGGATGTTTATAATCATTTACATGTGTAAGAGTGCACACACACACACACAAAGGCCATTCATGAGCACTATTTAATCTACATTCTGTGGAAAAGAGGGCTTTTAAGATGGTGAGTCAACCTCTGAATTGGCCATGGAAGAAAAGGGATTGGATAATATCATACCACTTCCACATCATAGAGAATTTGCTCTCACTACAGACTATGAATGATGTGGGCCCTAACAAAAGAATGCCCTGGGTTGGATAGCCAAGAAATCGATATTTATTGACTGACTGGCTGTCAGAATCATGGAATCTCAGGG